GACTCAATGATGTAAGATAGCATTTTACTCCTGAGGGAGACTAAGGCCCTGGATTAATGACGACTCTGAGTTTTCCTTATGAACAATAAGGCCCAATGTTTTGTGCTTACTTGACTACAATTGATTAAAAGAACAACAAAATCCAGAATGGGTTTAGTGAGAAACCTGTGCCTCTGTAATAACAGCTGTTGCTTTTTTCTAAGCAACCACTCTGAAAATCTCCAACCTCCTCCCTCCTTCTCCCCTTTTTTTTTTTTTTTTTTTTTTTGTCTAAACTTGGAATGAATGTGTACGCGATCCACCCTAATCACCAGTTTTCAAGGTCTCTAGTTTGGATAAATGCTATGTGCTTCAGCTGAAAAGCTCTTCAATGGCACTTGTGAATTTTAACTTCAATAGGAAACAGCAGCTTATGTGCCACCAAAGATTTGAGCCACCAAAAACAGAGTAGCCTTTGGTCAACCCACTGCTTCAACAAGAAATAGGACAGTAGCCTCTCTGAGCCCACAAGACAGTCATTGCTCTAACTGTATTTATTAACAACAACAGCACCAACACGTATATTGCACTGTGTCTGTCTTATCCTTCTGCACTATGGTGAAGTGCTTAAGAAGTAAGGACTGGAGCCAAATTGTCTGGTTCAAACTCCAGCTCAGTTCATTTCTAGCTGCTCAACCCCAGCCAAATCACTTCAACTCTCTGGCCTTCAGTTTCTCTATAAAAATGGGAATAAAAGTGGTTACAGGATGCAAATGAGCCAGATCGTTAAAATAAAGCTCCTCAGCACAGTGCCACACACAGCGCCTGCACCACAAAAGCAGGTTACTAGTATCTTCCCATTCTTATTCCTTGTTCCTTTTGTCAATTTGACCAGCCTGGAAAAGTGTCAGATTTGTTGGTTTTCACCCTGCCTCATGGGCCAGGGCTAATGGTCTCCAGTTGATGTGTTAGAGGGTTCTCCAGTCTCACTTCTCAGGGGAAAAGTGAAAGTGGCATCATTATAGAGAAGAAAAATCTAGAACGATCCACACTCCAAGTCAAGACAAGATCTGCCAGATAGGATAAGGCAGAGAAAGGGTGAGACAATCCTCAGAGGAGGACTTTGCCTCCTAAAATCCCCAAATAGTATTTAGCTTTCAACTTCAACCACTTCCTCAGCCAAAAATTTCAGAAGAAACCAGAAGAAAGTTTTTTCAGGATGTGGGGTCCTCCCCACTCTTCACTGTGTTTCTCCCTCTTGTGGAAGTGCTAGTACACAGACATTGGCCACAATGAGGGTGAGAAAGGAAGTAATGGAACAGAAAAAAATTGCCCAGGCTGCAGAACTCAAATCCAGCTTTATGAATAAAAAGCTCTGTTTCTTCTGAATCTGCCACGGAGAAATGGTAATCTCAGTGAAGACGGCTAGATGATCATATTGGAACCTTTATGGAATGCTTCATGAGAAGATGGTTACATGTCAACTTCACAATTAGAATCTGCTAGAACTTGTTTCCCATACATGCCTATCATATTCCACTTTATCCTAGTAATAACTACAGCAAAGACCTTAAGGAGGTGTTGACCTCCTTCGTTTCCAACTCAGTCTTGATTCATCTTTCTCGTTCTATCAAGGCCTCCAGAAAATGCATCTGGTAGCTCACTGAAGGCATTTGCTCTGAGACAATACTTGTTCCTATGGATGGGACACACTCTTGCATGGATGGGTTTGTCAATTCTAAGGGATCCACCTAGTACAATCATTAAGTCAATGTAGAAACCCATATAAATTTTAAAATTTCAAGGCCAGAGGTACTCTCATCTCTATTTCATAAAAACCAATACGGTTTTTATTTGTTCTGAAAAGTCTCCTTTACTTTTCTGAAAGGAGTCTGTTTCAAATCTGCTTCTTTAAAAATTTATAACTCTCCTCAACCCCTCCAAGAAAAAAAAAAAAAAAGTCTGCTGTGCAGACGGGAAGGTGAAAAGAGAAGAATTCATATTTATTCACTGTCAAAAGTTAGCGTGGTACATGAAACCTTCACATCCCTTTTGATCCTATTATATTTTTAATGGCAGAAGCTCCCAGCGAAGGCTCGAGTGGGATGCAACACAAGTTTTAACATTCAAGGGAGCAGATGAACTTGCCTCGGTTTGTGTGACTGAATGAGAAATTACCCAGCGCAGCCCTGCTCGGGGCAATAGTTCCCTTTGCCTGTGCTGGATTTGGGTCGAAGAGCTAAACCTCAAATCAGAAAATATCAGCATCATTTTGTGGGGACACAGAACTGTGAGTAATGATCATGATAATCAAACCTGATCAAAGATGCCATTTCCTGAGCAAGGAAGCCACTTGCTACACTGAAAAGTCCACTATTTAGAGGGTTACTGGTCTATGCAAAGTTCTATCACACTCCCCTGGGATGCAGACTTCTCAAACCAGCCTCACTGAGTATGAACTATATCATCAAGAAAGGGTCTAGTTATTTTCTTCCATCCCCTCTTTTGATTCTAGGTATTAATAAAATCAATTGACTCCTTAGTCCTATTAGGAAGTTCTGGAAATGTTTCCTTGAAGAATTTTTTTTCACTCTGGCTCATCTAAATTAGAATGTTTATATTAAAGATTAATGAGAAAAAAAATTAATGCGGTTGAATGAGAAGGTTTAAAAAGATTTGTGAAAGGCACATGGAGCTCAGACATCGTTAAAGAGCAGGGCTCACTCTCAAGTTTCCTATCCAGCACGATATCCACTGCTATCTCTGTGGCCACAGAGCCTGGGAGTGGCAAAGTGGGCCTCTCACTGAGGAATCAGACAGGCATGTTTCTATATCATGGTGACAGGAAAAGAAAAGGAAAAAAACCCCAGGCAGCAAACAGAGATTGTGACAAAGATAACCACAAGGAATGTAAATAAAATATTATAAGCAGCTCACTCACCACCTCACCCCCAAGAGCTCTCTCAGAGGCAAAAGTAAAAACGTACAAATTATGTGTTTTCAAGAAGAGTCAAGCAAAACTCTTTGGGAAGAAGCCATGGATATAAAAGATTCTTTCCACATTTGTCTCACTTCTCTAATCCCAAGGCTTGAGACATATGTACTTTCAAAAGAGACTCATTGAAATTTGGGGAGCATGAAGTTGAGCCCCCTGTTGGTAAGGACCTTCCAATAGTGACTTGGTCTTGTCGGTGATAAGCCCTGTTTATCTGAGCTTTCAAAAGCCTAAAACCAAGTTCTTTCAACATGACACCTTGAAATAAAATAAATGCATTACAAACACAAACTGCAGTAAACCAGGCTCACGCCAAAATGCACGTGTGCACATTTCACTAAAGAAGGGGGAGATATTTCTAGTGAGGAGCAATCTCTACGGGAAGGCAAGCGAGAGCGCTCGCCTGCCAAAGGTCACATGCTCCAGAGCGCACAGGATTCCCTAAGTGAAACAAGCCAGTAGGAAGAACCTCAATAGTCAAAAATCTAGAAACTCTTCAGAGGTACAGACCATCAGGCCATAAAAGCCACCTCAAGTCATGTCTTTCTAAGGACTTCCAAAAGCTACCCTCTGCACTTGAACAGGAAACCTGCCAGCTCCCCTCAATCATTCTGCTCCTTTGGAATAGAAGTTATGCCTTGAACTGAAGGAGAACTTCAAATGCGCCACTGGTATCTGATGCCACTGCCAAAATACATTTACATCACCTTCTGCCAGTCATTCAGAGCCCAGTGTTGATATTCTCTTAGTAAGACAAGGAGGGGGTTAGGAGGTTGGTCATCCACCTCCTCATCTTCAAGGCTAAATGCAGGTTTTCTTGTTTATTCTACTCGAGACCCTGGGGAACTGGTCTGGTGTCTCAGGGTCTCATAAAGTGAACACACTCCCCACAAATCACGGCCCAGGGAGATTTGGAAAGGGGCTGTGGGGCATCTGTTTCTGCTAAATGCAATGCCCTCTGCAGGTTATTCCTCTGTATGAGGACTCCTAGACAAAGGTTAGCCTCTCCCTGCATCTGAGAAACTGTGCTTGGGGCTTTGAATGTTCACTGAGAAGCCTCCAAGCTAGCCAGGGCCTGGCCTCATTGTCCTAAGTCTTCAGACGCAGCCTCCAATGGTGCTGTATTTTACCATTTAAACACTTCTTCAAAGTTTACTACGAAACAATGTGGCTCCAAGCTTGCCAAAAGTTTAACTGCAGGATTCAGTGGATTTTATCTGGCAGAGTAGCTGCCGTGACTCCTGAGAATATTTGCCAGCAAAAGACAGTCCTCAAACCTTGCAACCAAGGCAATCCCAAGGCCCAACATGTCACTGAAGGAGTTCTTCTGGGAAAGGTCCCTCTTTCTCTTCAATCGCCTCCCGCAAATTCCCAGCTTCCAGAATCCAATTCAAGGCAGTCTGGCATTTCAGGAGACAGCCGTAAAAAACTTTTGATGGGATGACCCAGGAGATAAATATTCTTGGCTGAACTTACTTTTGATTCTTAAATATCTGAAGGGGCTTGGGTTTAAGGAAGATAAAGGGAGAGAACCAATGAATAGGGAAAAATAAAATAAGTAGCATACCATGACCAAGCCAAACCAAGCTTGATATTTCCACATTATATTGGCAAATGGATGCTTTCACATATCACTTGTTCTGTCCTGTCTTTCCTGGAGACCAAAAAAAAAAAAAAAAAAATCTGGATTCAAAAATCCTAACTCCAGACCACTACATTGTGTCAGTGGAATGCAATCTAAATTGCCAGTCAGAAAGTCCAACCTTATATGTACCAACGAACAGGCACACAAGCACCTCCAAACCAAAAGTTGTAACGCCTGAATCCATGCGTTTGTCAATTTCATCATCCCCATATCCCCGGGTTCCTGGCGCTGGGTTAAACCGACAGCATCATGTTGCCATCGATGCGTCTTACAAGATGGTTTTGGGCAAAGCCCCTAAAGTAGGCAGAAGCAAAACCTAGGTTCCTCTGCCCGGGCACCTCCTCCTCCAGGCTGGCCCCCGGCCTCTCGGGTGCCCCTTACCTGCAGGCGCTCCGTGGCCGGCTGCCACATCTTCCAGTCCTGGGGTTTGGTAGAGGAGACGCTAGCGGGACTGTCGATCGCGCCGGGGGGCGAGGGGCTGTTGTCCCGCTTTACATCTGGGGTGGGTGTCCGCGGGATGTGCGTCCTGGCGCTGGCCACCGCCGCCGGGTGGGCGCAGGGGTCTGCAAGCAGGAGGAGGAGGCGCGGCGCTCAGCTGCCGGCAACTTGTGGGCACGGCCGCGCGCCGGCTGTCCTGGCGCAGCTGCGAGAGGACTGCGCAGCTCCGCCCGGGCCCGGCGAGCGCGCGGCGGCGGCGGGGGCGGCCGCTCACTCCTCCCCCGCCGCCGCCGCCCGGACCTGCGCGCTCTGAGCATGCCCGGGGCGGGCGCCCAGGGGCGGCGCGGGGCGGGGGTGCAGCGCGGCGGACTCTAAATCCTAGTGAGGGGTGAATGGGGAAGCCAGAACAGCCGGCCCTGCCCTCATTGGGAAGCCTCCATTGGGTTGGGGTCTGGGGAAAGGGACAGACTGGCTGATGGGGGAAGGGCCGGGGGTGGCGGGGGTGGCGGGGTTGGCGGGGATGGCGGGGGTGGCGGGGGTGAGGGAAATTCCTTAAATAAAGAAACCGTAGCCCCGGAGGTCCCAGGTTTCCATGTAACAGAGATACTCCGAAGTGCCTCTGCTGTGCTTGGCACTGTGCTAGGGAGACACTTCCATTCGTTCTTCCCACTCCAGTTAACTGAGCACCTATTAGGCTCCAGCCCCTATGCTGGGTCCTGAGGATGTAGCGACGCAGAATAGAAGACAAGAGAATGTTCCTTGTCTCTGGAGCTTACCTTCTGCTTTGGAGAGAGAGTCGTGACTGAGCAAACACATCAACAAGCCGGTGCTATATCGGGTGGTGATAAAACAGGGCAGATGTGGGAAGAATGGGAGAGGAGAGCTTCTTAGACAAGGGCCCTGGGGAATGCCTGGAGTAAGACCTGAGAGATGAGAGGGGTTGGCCATGAGGAGGCCATACCTCATGCTGGGCAGTGGACTCAACTCCTAACCTATACAGGGGTGAGGAGGGCCATGCAGACTCCCGCATCACTAACTCACCGTGAGATCTGCAAGTGCAGCAGGAGGCTCTGAGAACCCAAGGGAACGCCACTCTGGGCTCATAGGCCTGGAGGCTCCCTGGCTAGTGCTGGCCACCATGAGATGACCTCCTGTCCTAAACAGGCCAGCCCTTTCCATGCTCTTGACAACTCGGCAAAATAACTATTAATATTTTCACCACGTGGATCAAACAAATGAGGCTTATAAGGTTTAGGTCACTTGTCCAGGTCACACAGCCAGTGAGTGGCTTAGAGAGTACACGGTCAGATGACTTCAGGGCAGGAGATCTGGCCCTGCGCCTCTAACTGACCACGGAAATGCAGTGGAAAGAGCATCTGTCTGAGGCTGGGGGTTAAAGGCACTTGGCAAGTCAGGGATACTAAGCTGAGTCTGGAGCTGATGAAGAGTGGGAGAGGAGAACATGGTGGGAAGAACTCACTACACAGAATGACCTAAGAGAGCGGCAGAGAGAACACAATGTTTGTGGGGAGCCCGAGGCTCTTTGCTCCTACAAGGCAGGGTCCTGAGAGCAGAGGGGTGTGAAAGGCATTTCATGCTGAGACAGCTGCACAGCTTGTGCCCTGAGCTACCCATGCAATGTCAAAATCCACACTCCATGTCTGGAAGGAGGATCTGTCCATTTTGCTTATTCTGCTTGAGTATAATGATTTCCAGATACAGAAGCACTCCAGAATCGAACCCTTAGCTCGTCGGATCCTCCCAGCAACTCTCCGTGGGACAGAAGCCCCTATCTCCCAAGGCTTGGGGAGCACAGCATTCACAGAGTCACACGGTGGGGAGTCACAATGGCGATTCAGATCCAGGATTCCAGGCAGAATCTTCTGGACCCCGCGGTTGCTATGTTGGTGCCACCAGCCTTGGCAAACCCAGGAACCTCAGTGCCTCTAGGAGCCTCTGGCAAAGCCACAGAGCTGCCTCTGAAGAGCTTGTCTCTGTCTCCCTGGATATCCACAGGACCCTCCCACTCCTGCCTGATAACCATCTGAACCTTCTCAGCTCCTTCTCCAGTTCCTGCTACTTGCTCTGAACTTATTAATAAATCTCTTTTCATGAGGTATTTGCATGGCAGCCCTGCATGGACATGTGCCTCGCATGCTTGGTCATATGGTCTCTGTTTGCTTTTCCAGTAACTCCTCCTGCACACCTCCACACCTACAAAATTCCTCATGACCTTCTCAGCCCCTAGTTCTCTTTTATCAAATCCCAAAGCAGAAAGAAGTGCAATTCATTACAAAAATCTAGAAAATCCAGACATGCTTATAAACCCCACCCCCCAACCGCCCCCCCGCCACCCCCAACCAGGAAGCTAAAACAGGAATATTCAGTTGCCAGGGATGTCTTCAGACTTAAGCTCTGAAACCATCCTTAGTTGCAGATGCTTCCGTAGAAAAGTGATCTTGTTTTAAATAGCAGTGGGATGAGATAACGGCCTAAATTCAAATCGCATTAGAGCGTTAAATCCTGTCTTCTCACCTCTGAACGTAATTAATTGTTATGACTCAGTAATACAGCTTTTAGTACGGAGTATGGTGCTATTTAAAGAGAAAAAGCTTTGGCTCTGTCAAGATTGCTTTCAGTTACCGTTCCCACTTTGCAGACAGATTCAGTAAAGTAAAGAATGGATTTAAACTCAAATGGCACTCCTGTTTCAATTACCTTTGTGCCACGAATCAGGAAGCTAGGGGAGGGGTGGAGGAGGGGCAGTTGCAGGCTGGTGGGAGGTGACAAAAGGATGGGACAACTCCCACTCATAGATTTTGCTCCCAAGTCTTCCCATTCAGGAGGAACCTGCAATGAAGGATGAATGAAATAGAGACATCTGCTGGCTAGAGATGAGACCTACATGCCATTCTCTCCCAGCTCTGTTCTGTGACATTGGAACCTCATCCTTCCTGGTGAATCTGAAAATGCTGCCTTACGATGTAAGCAGGTTTGTTCTGAGCAAGAAACCACCCTTAAAATAAGCGGGAGGTGTTTTGGTGCAATGAGTAGAAATATTAGGCATGTAAATGTGTGCCTAATTTCATGTACTTAGTCTCCTGCAATTATCGAAACAGGTCTAATCTTGTTAATAAATACCATTTCAAGGAAAATGACAGAAACCAAAAACGCTTGACAAGGCACAGATGCGTTATTCACACGTTTGGTTCAGAAAAATAATTACAGCATCCCTAGAAATTGTGTTAAGCCAGATTTGATTTAGTTCATGGTTCTGAGCTCTAGCATAAGCAACCTCAAGGTCCAAGTCAGAGTAATGGTGAATGAAAGTACGGTCCAGCATATCAAAGAAATATTAAAATATTATGCACCATTTAAAAGGGTAATTATAAAGTTGTGTTGCAGCTGAAAATGATACAATTATGGTTTTTAGAGTAGGATAAGATGTATGTAATTTGAATATACGTATAAAATATGTATCGATATCAATAAATATTGGAAAGGCACTAGGACAAGCGGAAGACTCAGGTTGAATCCTGGCCTTCGAACTGTCTGCCTCGGTATCAGCTTTTCACAAGTCATTTGCCTTACCGAACCTCAGATTTCTCTTCTGTAAAACGGGTAATAGTATTACTTAATACTTAGGATTTTTGGGAGGAGTGAATGAATTAATATGTGCAGCATGCCTGGCACATGGTAGGTGTGTGGGAAACATTCATTTTCATCCCCACTATGTTTCTTTCTCTTTTTATTATTGGAATGATCAAATTTTCACAAAGTGGCCCATGCTTCCTATGGTTATGCTATTTCCATTGGGAATAGTCATGAGTTTCGATTATTTGCTTTAGATTCTCAAATAAAAATGACAAAGGATATTAAAGCTCACTTACGATTCTTTTTTTTTTTTTTTTTTTTTTTTTTTCTTATTTGAGATGAAGTCTCATGCTATCGCCCAGGCTGGAGTGCAGTGGCACGATCTTGGCTCACTGCAACCTCAACCTCTCAGACTCAAAACAATCCTTCCACCCCAGCCTCCTGAATAGCTGGGACTACAGGTTTGTGCCACCACACCCAGCTAATTTTAAAAATTTTTTATAGAGACAGAATATCGCTGTGTTTCCCAGGCTGGTCTCAAACTCGTGGGCTAAAGTGATTCACTTGCCTTGCCTCCCAGAATGCTAGGATTACAGGCATGAGCCACCATACCTGGCCCACTTACAATTCTAACTTAAGCAGATGACAGCAAAATTTATTACAGTTGTGTATTTAGCAGAATGATCATTAAAAAGCCCTTGTTATGGTATCACTAACCTTATTTCAAAGTCACCAAAACAGCTGTATATAAATGAGCAATATAAAAAAGTCTGAAAATTCTTTCAGCCATTTAAACCTCCCACTAGTGATGGAGCCACTGGCTTTTGTCCCTACAGAGTGATAGGATTTATTGGTATGTTAAGATGACCCTTAACAGGGTAGGACTGGTTCATTCATGTGTTGTGACTCTCCTACTCTTGACTCCTCATGTCCTCACGACTTTAGTTGTGTGACAGATTATTTCCAAAGATGGCCACAAAAATCTCTCATCCCTCAGGAAGTCATGCCCATTTGCACTGTAACTTGCCTGTTTCTTTCATCATGAGATGCAATCTGTCCACACTCCTTGAATCTGTGCTGGACTTGTGGCATACTTGACCAATAAAATGCAGCAGATGTAACACTGTGGAACTTCTGAGCTCGGGCCACAAAACACTTTGCAGCTTCTGCTCTCACCGTTTTGGAACATAAGTCATCCTATGAAGGAGCCTGGACTAGACTCCTTACGATGAGAACCACATAGAGGGAGGTCAGGCCATGAGTTAGCACCCATAGCCAGACATGTGAGTAAGCTCATCTCATAACAGCCAGCTCAAGTCACTACAGGACAGCAGCCACATGGGTGATCCCATGTGGGTCCCACCAGCAGAAGAACCACCCAGCTGAGACCTGCCAACTGCTGACCTACAGAATCATAAGTACACAACAAGGTT